ATCAAATAATAATAATAATTTTCAATTATAATACTAAGAAATTGTAATTTCAGTTATAATATACCCAGACTAGTTATCACTTATCACAAGAGAAATCACTTTTTGTTTCCCTGCACACATACACACTTCAAGCTTTATAAAAGTGTGTCACAAGAAAAACATTGTGCCATACTTGCTAAGCAAGAGTCAACATTGAATGAAAGTAACACTACGCCATTAAGGTAGTCTATGCATGCTATACCTTAATATTTTATTTCTTTTTTGTACAAGTATACTTTTTAAGATAAAGATAGCGTCACACTCAATCAAGGATCTCAATATTTTTATTATTAATAATTTTAATAACTAATAATAAATAATTTTTAATAATTTTAATAATAATTTTTGCCTTTATTTGGACTAAAGTAAAAATTTAACTTCTCATTTTATGATCAACAATTGAGACCATCTAATTTTATAAAGTAAACAAATCACAGCATAAATGAACTATTGTTAAAAAAGATACAGTTGTACCACATAGCACATTACTACCAAGAGTACCGACTAACTATTTAAAAGCAATTACAACACTGTGCTATGTTACATAAATAGCATCATCATAGACATTGATATCTGGACACTCATACAATGAGTCTTTTGTAGTATCTTTAGTATCTTTAGTCTTGTGTACAACATATGATTCACATGCTTGCATTGGTATATCATCATTAAATCTATATGATGATGCATATAAAAGTCTATTACTGTCATTTATTGAGTTACTTATTTGTTTCTTTAGCATAGTAAGATTTAAACCTAAAATAATTTAAATAATTTGATAGCATTGATCAGTGCCTTCATACTTGATAAAGCAGTAGATGTTAATAATGATACTAATAACTAGTGATATTGTTAATAATCCAACCACTGCACCCAGTCCAATACTAGCACCATCAACAGCTTCTGCAATTATTATTTAAAAATAGATTTATACAGTACTAGTACTATTACAAATAAACAATGCTAGTTATAGAGTCTATGCTTCCAATTACCTTCATCATTTGATCCTATGCATACATTTTGACTTATCAATGTCTCATTAGCAACAACTCTCCAACTTCCTGGTCCTCTATCAGTGTATGCACGTACACCAAAAATATAACAAGACATATCATTAAGACCAGTAATGGTAATAAATGTATTGCCATTGGTTGAATTAGAGAACTGTAGCATTTGAATATCAAAGTCATCATCATCTACCATTGAACAGTTACCAGACTCTAAGATATGATATCCTATCTCATATGTGATAATGGGATAGTCTGATGGAATATAACTAGGTACACTCCATGAGATAACACCCCATGTAGTGTCCATGATACTGGATACTGAACCAACTGGACCAGGTACTAAATAAATACACATTGTCACAGAACTGATATAGTATAATAATTACATACCTATTCCAATCTCTACTATAATAGGATCACTGAAGGGACCTCTTCCAACAGAATTGAATGCAGCTACACTGATGTTATACTCAGTACCAAATACTAGATCATTTAATATGATATATCTCTCAGTACTGGTGAAGTTGTATGTGATACTACTGTTACTGATAATCACTGTATAGCCTGTGAT